CTTGGGTACCCTGGGATCCTGCCCCACCCCATCCGTGGAGGGTCGTCTTCCAGGAGGCTGGTCCCTGGTGTGTGAACGACTTGCCAAGTACGTTTCACTGCAAGGACACGGAGGGAGACAGGACTCCAGGTGGCTGAGCACGTCCCTCTCCCGCAGCAAGAGCAGGAATACTTGGGACGTTATCACAACTAACTTTTTAATTTTTTGAAGAGAGTTTTTTTGCTATAGCGTGTGTGCACTCACCTGAGAGACAGAGAGAGACAGAGAGACAGAAAGTGAGAAATCACTCCCCGGGGGGATGGCCACGCCGCAATCCCTTCTCCTCCATTCTCCTCTCGGGATCTTGGGCACGCATGTGCACGTGCCCAGCGTGAGTTTTAAGTCACCGGGTCCAGGACTTGAACTGTGGTCGACTACGTGGGAGTCCAGCAACGTAACCATGTTGGTCCCATCAAAATGAACGTTTTAAACTCTTTGGAAATTACCCAAATGCTAACAGCAATCTAAAGAGCCTTCATTCAGGAAAAGCCGAACAGCGGAGATCGTGGCACGTTAGCTTGTCTGTCCCTCCCCTCCGCCAGCTCCAGGTTACTCTTAGAACCAGCGCCTTCCCAGCCACCGCAGGACAGGCCATGTTGCACACCCACCCCCACCCCAACAGGCAAGGCGAATATCCCCAGTGCCCACAGACGGGGTTGCTGCTGGCCGGCCCCGGCCCCGTGCAGACCCCTGCTTTGGGCTTTGGCATGGTGACACACGTCTCCTGGCCCGCCAAGGAATCCCCAGAGGCTGCCACTTGCCCGAGTGGGAATGCGTAACACCGCTTTCCGGGGTGCTCTGGCATTTACCACCCGGTGGCCGAGGGCATGGCCAGGAGTGGCTCCCGGGGCGTCCTTTCCGAGGTTGTGGTTGGACGCAATGTGAGCCTTTGCTTCTTACCTCGCCGTGAACGGAGGGATAGAGTGTGACGGACTGGAGAGAATAACCCTGAAACCCCAAATAAAAACCACCTACACCTTCATCACTGCCTTACAGATAGCCCCAGTGACACGCACGGCCCTTCCGAGTTGCTCCCTGCTGGGCACGTCGTCCGCAGACAGTGCTGTCCTGTCCGGGCTGCATCAGGCCCTGAGCCGCTGCCTGTGGCACAGTCCGGAGGTGGCCGCCTGGCCGGGTGCCATCCCCACAGGCATGAGGGGTGCCTTCGAACGACTTCAGACTGTCCAGTAATGCAGCTTCTAATGGCTCTCTTTCTTTTTGTTCTAGCTGCCTTGGTGGGAGTTTTGCACTGGTAAGATTTCGTTTCAGTTTGAAATAAATAAAAACGTTTGGATTAAACATCACCATCACTGTTTGCACATAGTCAAACAACAGCTTCTGGTTATGTTACAGAACAGCGTGTGCGTCAGTTCACACGCACACGCACACACCCCTCTTACGAGCCTCACGCGGCGCAGAAATGGTGATTTATGAGTGAGGATATTTTTGCTTTATTAAGTAACTCACTGTTCTTTTTCTTTACCTGCCTGTTCTAGTGTGTTTAAGTTAGAACACTCCTTTCTCTGATATTACTGTATTGTTCGTAACAGACATTTAGGGAGTCTTTTCCTGTGCCTGAGGGAGTGTTTTCTCACTAGAGCGAGAGAAGTTCCCCTCCATGGGGTGTGACCGTGCCACGGTCCTTTCTCCTTCATTCCCCGTCCCTTCAGGGTTTCGGCTTGCACACACACGTGCCCGGCGTGGTTTCCAGGCTGCCGAGGCCATACGGGATCTGGTTCCCTGTCACAGCCTGAGTGCTGCACTGCAGCCGGTCTGGAGACGGGTTCGAGCAGCTGCCCGCTGGACATCGGGCGACAGGGAGAGAAGGGGAGACGCGGCATTAAATGGCTCAGAGCCTGCCGTGCGAGCACACGTCCCGGGGCTCACACGCTGCTCATCTCTGAACCTCAGGCAGAGCGAGGCGCTTCCTCTCTGAGCACGGCCACTGCTTCTGGAGCTCAGGCGTCTCTGCTCATGGGACCTGTGGGCTCTGCCTCCGCTCTGGCGGCCGGTGCTGCCCTGGGCCTTGGCCCGCTGTGGGGGAGCTCCTCTGGCAGCTGGTCCCCGGCTCATGCCCACATCTGCACGAGGTAGACGGGGCTCTGCTTTACTTAGACTGGTCGGAAAGCCCCTGCTGCAGACACGGAGGGCCCGTGTGCCCACCACGTGGACTCCTGTGTCCACTGCCTATAGCTGTTGGACCTCCACAGGGACTAGCTTCAAGTGCAACCCTGCGTTCTTTGACACGCGTGCTGACCCTTATATGGAGCCCTGCGTTTGACACACAAGAATTGATCTGTTATGTGGTATTTTACTTACTGGGTCATCAGGAAAGCCATGACACTTCTTTGCACAGAAAAACAGAAAAATGTCAGGAGTTTCCCAGCCAACCAATATTTTGAATTGCCTTAACATAAAGTAATTGTATTTATTTATTTATTTTAGGTTTTTGCCCTAGGGCATGTGTGCTTGCCAGAGAAAGACAGGGAAGAATGAAAATCACCCCCCAGGGAGATGACCATGCTCTAATCCCTTTTCCTCCATTCTCTATCTGGATTTTAGGCATGCATGCACATGTACCCAGCCTGAGTGTAAGAAGCCGTGACTTGGCCCCACTGTGGTGGCACAGGCAGGCGAGCACCGCGGTCAGCGGCAGAGGCTGCGTGGGAGTCCCCAGTTTCAGTTCCCAGGCCCGCCTCAGCAGGGGCCAGTAGTCCTAGCTGCTGGGGTGCGGGGCAGGAGGGTCTCAGCATGAGCCAGCAATGCCTATGTCTCCCTCACTGCCTGCGTCTCCCTCCCCCGCGCTCACTCTCACTTAGAAAGAGAAGCAAAGAAAGCAAACAGCTTCAGGCACGGACTGCCGCGTGGCTGAGGCGACCATTTTACGTGTGTGGTTAGAAATGCCCAAACTCAGGAAAAGCAGTTAGCGTAATGGCTGTGTAGCTGGACTCCCATGTAGTTGACCACGGTTCGCGTCCCAGACCGGGGGCTTAAAATTCACGCTGGGCACGTGTGCGTGCGTGCCCAAGATCTCGAGAGGAGAATGGAGGAGAAGGGATTGCGGCGTGGCCATTTCCCCTGGGGGGGGGTGATTTCCCACTTTCTGTCTCTCTGTCTCTCTCTCCCTGGAGAGCGCACCCTCCCTATAGCAAAAAAAAAAAAAAAAACCTCTAAGAAAAAAAAAGAAATGCCCGAACGTGTGCAAGGCGAGGAACAGCGTGTAAAGGCGTCTCAGCCTTTCTTATCAAAGCTGTCTTCTTCTTATGGCTCCTCTGTAATTAGCTGTTTTTGTGTTGGACGTGGGGCTCGTTCTTCTATAACATGATACTTCCTGTGTTTTCTAGGGTACATTTAATAACCCTTTTCGAAAATGATCGCCACTTTTCTCACCTCTCAACTTTGGAGCGGGAGATGACTTTTCGCACTGAAATGGTTAGTCTTTCTTCCAATGTATTAATTTGTGACTTAAGAGTGGTAAGACCATAAGCTAAATTAAAACCAAGTGAATGTTTGGTGAACCGCACCACCTCGCAAGTTTCTAAGTGTCATAACTCAGGTTCGAAATGCAGAAATGTTTAGGACCCTCTGTATTTAATTTATTTCATGATCTTTCCTCTTCTGAAGTGGAGACTTCGTCCTGAGACATGAAGGTGAGTTGTGGCGGCCGGGAGGACCAGCACAGAGCCCTGTGGGGCTGACGCAGGCAGGCTCTTGGCTCGAGCTGGGAGAGCCCGTCTCACCCGGCTCTTCACGCTTTTGATTTTTATT